TTGTTTTTTTGGTGAGGAAGATTTGCCCTGAGCTAACATCTGTTGCCAATCCTCCTCTTTTTTCCCTTTTTATGTGAGCTGCCACCACAGCATGGCCACTAACAGACAAGTGGTGTATGTCCACACCCGGGAACCGAACCCGGGCCGCCAACCAGAGTGCGCTGAACTTAAGTACTAGGCCACTGGGGCTGGCCCAGGAACAGTTTGATCGAATTTGTCCATCACTTATCTAGAGAACATTACGAAAATGTCAGCATTTCAGATAGAAAATTTTCAGTTTATATTTATATTGGTATAAAATTCTTTTGAAAGTGATGTTTTATTTTATAAATTTTAGCATTTTAAAGGCTCTTTGGATAATTTCCCTGAAAGATCAATTCAAAAATTCAACCAAAACGTATTTTTAACTATTTAAAATGTTTATTCCAATTTATATTAAAAACACTTTAAACAACTTCTGAATTGTCTATGAAGTATAATTGATCAGTTTTTATTTTGTCTTTATAAATGCATTTGTTATAAAGCTCATGGGAACTGGGGCCTGTTTGTTGGCAGAAAGATGGAGTGGAGCCCCAGAGAGCAAGAGAATGGGGGCCATGGGAGAGCAAGAGGGCCCCAGAAACTTGGAGGTCTATGATCCACAGCCCTCTAATATACCTCCAAACCTTCAAATATGAATTGATACAAACTTTAGAAATAGAAAAAAGAAATGAGTTTGGAGTACATTAATAATTTTGGCAAATTGGTTCCTCCATAAACTGGCTTTTGGTGGATTGTGTTCATCAAATTAACCGGGATCCTGTTTGGATCATATAAAGTAATCTACAGACCCTCTGAAAAGTGCCCTCCACATTGTTTCCAAGGTGTCTTTATAAATGAGAAAGCATGTCATGGCACTCCTCTGCCTAAATTCCCTCTATTTTTTTCTTGTCATACTGTGAAGAAAACCCAGGTGATTTAATGATGCTATAGTCAAACACAAAGACTAGAATACCTAAATTCCACCCTCTAATCCTACCAAAACACATGCTATGAGTGACCCCCCAAAACCTGCCCTAGTCTTGCTAATCCTCCCTGTCTGCACTCAGGTAATCGTTTTTGCCTGGAATGAACATAGCCTTTTATGTGCTGATCCATCACCTCCTCTGAGAAGTGCACCTAGAAAGCCTGTCTTTCAACTCTGTCATGACCTCTACACTGTCAACTCCTCATCCTCTGCATCTTGAAAAATTATTATTCATGAATTAATACACAAATAATAATCATCTTCTAGTCCTATGTTGCCAACCCATTCCAAGAGAAAAGAAAATAACTGAACCAGTGGGCACCACTATCAATTTATAGTTTTAGGAGTCCTCTGAACCTTCAACACTGTTCATTCTTGTCTTTAGTCAGCAGTATTTGACATTTCCCTTAGTGGCTGTTGCAAACTTTTGTTTCTTTTATTTTTCTTCATATATGTCTCCCCTCCAATGTGTGAATTCCTAAAAGGCATGTATTATACGTGTATACTTGTATTTTTATCTTTGAAATCCAGGACCTTAATTCTGTAGGTATATAAAAAATACTGTTAAGTGGCAGTACCTACTATCTGGATGTGTTGGATTTTTGGGAAGGGAGACCAAACTACTGAAAACAAAACCACATTGATGTGTCAGAGCTCAGATGCAGGGGACCTCTGATCGTGAGAGTGAGGAATGCAGGGCACTTGGGCCGTGGCACAGGACAGGCTTTTGGACGTTTGTCAGAAGTTACAGTGAGTGGCCAGTCCCTCTTCTCTGAATTGAATCAAGATGGTGAAATACGATCCTGGACTCTCTGCCAGAATAGTCCATGTAGCTCACAAAGCTGCCTTCACTTTCTTCTTCTTTCATCAGTTTGTATTAAGAGTCTGTGTCTTGCACCCAAGTTTCCACATTTGTGAGCCCACTGAGAGGAGGACCAGGTTCTGAGATCTGAAATTATAGGTAAAATGGCAGCTCTGCGCAGGGCTAGTCGTGTCGCTTCAGAGAGGGAAAATACAGTGGATTCATGATGGAATACATCTAATGTGCTCTGCACATTCTTTCTCTCCATAATGATCAAGTAAGAGGTAGTGATTTGAAACCATAATGAGTCCGTCATCTGAATAGAGATGAGAAATAACAGGAAGACTTTTCTGTGTTTGTTAATGATTTTTTTAAAAAAAATGAACTCACTATTATATTAAAAACTAATGCATATGTAACTCACCATAGATTGCAGAGGACTTTTACAAATTATACCTGCGTTCTTGATAGTGGTCCTATGAGGTGTGCATTCTTTCTACAGATGAGACAAAACTAAGTCTTTCAGAGCTAAAATGGCTTATCCATGGTCACTTGCTACTAACTTGCCTCTTTCTTCAGATTCTCTAAAATAAGATTTTAAAGAGGTAACTTTGTGCAAAGAGAAAGGATCTACTTTATATGTGTCATGGAAAATTCATGCAACTGGTTACCTAAGGGTTGATATAGGGGACATATGTAGTTAGTTCACACAGATTTAGTGAAATTTAGAGATAATTGCTTGACTAATTTTTATTAAAGGGAAATAATATTTTGCGGGCAGCATTTCTAGTTATATTACTACTGGCATTAAGGAGGCAACAGAACACTTTGGAATATACAATGTTTCTTGATTCCTGAAGTGAGTGCCAAACAGGGTCCTGGATGGCCCTTCTGGTGACAAGATGATCATTATGTTCACAGTTAACCCCACTGGCAAGCACAGATCTTAAGGGATGTGGACCAAGGAAGATGATTTCTCCTTGAATTTCCACAAGGAAGAAGTCCACAACTTTTATCTTCTACCATGAGGGGATAGAGGCTGTCCCCTGGGGAGAGTCTCCCTACTGTAACTCTGACCCATATCAATGACTGCTTTTTTTATCCCATTGTCTAGCCATATGGACACACACTTCCCTCATCCTAAATGTCCTGCCTCCATAGAGCCCGGGTGGGGTGATTCAGGTGAGGTGCCGGGAAACAGGATGTTTGTCTGAGTTACCTTCCTCTCAGGACAGGCCAGCAGTGGCTGCCTTGAGGAATGCAGCAGGGAAATGGACAGTGCAGAGAACTCTAGAAAATGTAGAGAATGCTGATTGTGTCCAGGGAAGCAGCTGGCAGAAGTACAAACAAGAGCCCCTCAGATGTGGTTTTAGCCAATCAGAGAAAGGATTCTAAGGTGACACTTCTGTTGCTAGTTGAAAAGTCTGTGTGAATAGGCCTGTGAGGCTGGGAAATCCCCAGGTCTGATGCAGCCTCTACTGCACAGCCCAGGAACAGAGGGAATTTTCCCCTTTAGGACAGGAGGCAGGGGATGGGCCAGAGGCCGCTGTCTACTCTGACAGAGCCTGAGGTGGGGACTGAGGGAACTACGGCACACTCTCTGGCCGTTCTTCCTGGTCCCCCACTCCTATTCCAGGTCTGAGTTTGATGTTCCTCCTTTCTGCTTCCATCCCACCGTGGAAACTGTCCTTGTTCTAGACTTACCGTGAACCTGATACACCACTGCTGGTGGAAGCCCAGTATTAAATATTCCAGTCTCAGGTGCTCTGGAACAATGCACCTCATGAGAATATTGGAATAACTCACTGCCTCCATGTGCCACTAACGGAAACTTCTTGTTGTTGCCTCTTCCCTATTTCTTTTTACCTGGCAAATTCCTTCTATTCTGCTCTTAGATCCTGTCCTCCATTTTAAAAGGAGAACATAAAATACAAGGAAGACAGAGAGGGAGGGAGAGAAGACAGGGGGAGATACTTATTGTCTTGTTTATTAACGTTGCCAGGCACTGTTCTAATTGCTCCATAACCATTCAGTACTGCCCCTCGTCATGGGCAAGAGGAGTCTGATACATAACACACTTTTTTTAAAAAAAAATTGATATTTCTGCCATTCAGGATTTAATGCTTAGGATTGGCGCAGTACATCTGCTAAACATCTGCTCCCTCGTTAACACTATTCAGGCCCCGAAATGCTTCTCTACATCCTTTGCTCTCTGTTCTGGAAACTAAAGGAGACTGTGTCCCAGTGCTGTGAACGTCTGTGGATTGTGCCTTTGCTGATATCAGGTGACAATGTTTCATGGTTCAGGGAGGATAAGCAGCTGAAGAGCTTATAAGGGAAAAGTCAATTTAACTTTTTAAATACTGTCATTCAAAGAGCACAAATGCAATAGATTCTGGCATAATGAAGAATCACTTGCCAGCAGGGCTGGGTGTAGATTTTTTTTGCTTGTTTTCTTGCTTCACATATTAATCTGATATTCCCAACAGTTACACATGGGGGCTGAGGAACATTTTGCAGTATTGAAGAAGTCATAAAACTCTCAAGTTTGTATATATGAAGATCTAGATGTAAGACGTATGAAGCATGATTCACATTTTACAAAGAGAAGCCTGAGGCAAAAAGAGTTTCAGTACTTTGTTGACTCTCCTAAAGCACATTAGTGGTAGAACTGTAGCTCAAAACCATTTCCTTCTAAGAGCTCTGCTCCTCCCACCACAACTTAAGGCTCCTCAGAATGTCTAAGATAATAGAAGTGAACATCTCTGTGACAGTAATTTTCTCTCCCCCGAAATATGATCCCCATTTATTTTCCCCTACTAAAAATTCCAAGTATAAGAACAATAGTTTTTAACTAAATATCACAAAGATGTCAACTCTTGAATCATTTTTCTTCTGGTTGCTTAAACCCGTAAGGCATTCGATCATCAGATCTTCTATAACTGGGAGAAAATCTTCACCTCAAGTGTTCCTCCAGTGCAATTTGATGAAGACACAGTGCCAGGCAGTAGACTGAGAACCTTCATAAAAAATATTTGCCCAGAGACAGATGAGTTACTTCAGCTCCAGTGCTGATTGGTTCCTTTCCTAGGGACTCTCCAATCCCAAGGTGCATGGAAGCTTTCACAGGTTTTTACTCTCTGAAGTGGGTACATCAGATCCACCAGGTGTGAGCTGTGTTGACTACCATTACTTCTTCCTCGGTTCTCAGTTATGTCTGGGAGGACGGCTCTGCAGATCCCCAGAGGCCTTTGGACAGCAGCTGTGATGGTGATGCTGGTGGTGCTGAGCACCCCAGTGGCCAAGGGCAGAGACTCTCCACGTAAGTGCAGGGCAGCTGCTCTCCAGAGCCACTACCCTGGGGAACAGGCTCTGAGGGACCCTTGGGCAGGAGTGTGGAGGATTCTATGATCTCAGAATACAGTCTTTCTGTGGGAGAGGGAGGTATGTTACATTCTCACTTCCACCTTCTAATGATGAGGTGAGGACAATACCCATCCTATGAGCTGAAGACTGGGGATGTTATAATGAGGAGGAGGAGACAAAGTGCATATCTATCACTTGTGCCAGGACAAAGTGAGCATGGGGTTATTTCTGAAGATATGAATTTCTCCAAAGAAGATACAGCAGGATTTGTCATTTCAGGGTCTGGACTGAATACTATGGGATTCTGGGTTGGGGAAATGGAGGGCAGTAATGGTCTCTGTAGTCTCATATTTGAGGAAAAGGACTCTACATTCCTGACTCTGAGTGGAGGGTTCATGGAGGCAAACTCTTGGTATTTGAGTGAAGCTGACTGGGTGACCACAGACAGGGAGTCTTCAAGTTTCACTAATTTGTGGTCAAATAGTAACTTGAGTGGGATTCAGAGACTTGAGTTGGCAGTGGACTGAATTTAGGAGAAAGGAGAGTGTAAAGAAGGGAAATAATACATATTGGGAAACCACTCACTTCAGACACAGGATTAGTATCTTTATATGAATTCTTAATCTTCCTAATACCCCAATACCCCTTCCTTACGAATTTCTTTAAACAAGTATACTTATGATATAGATACTCTGTTAAGTAACCTGCCCAAGCTGGTAATTGGCACAGTTTAACTGAAATCTAATTTATCTAATTCGAAAGCCTATGCTCTTTCCATGAATAAAATGCTCCTTTCTAGGACTCAGGACATGTGAGTCCCTTCTAACCAAACAGGAGTGAGAGCCTCACACTGCGGTGGGGTGGGGGTGACAGAAACTCAGAGGAAACCCAGGCATGGGAAGAGAGGCACTTTGCCAGGGACCAAGAGAAGATGTTTGTCAGGACAAGAGCAAGCTTAATTCTTGACCTTTCTTGTCATTCCCTTGAAATCTCTTGCTTATATGAATACTTGTTTGTCTCTCAGGTTCCCAGGAGTTCTCTGGAAAATAAGATTTCGTGCTAGAACGTCTTGATCCCTCTAAGTATAGACATCACTGTAAAATCACCCCAACTGCCCTCTTTACCTGGTTGTGAGGCTCAGGCAGGGATCACAAGTCCCAGAGCTGGCCCCTAGAGACAGGCTTTCCTACCTCCCCTCCTTATATGAAGGTACTTCTGGAAGCCCTGAGAGCTGGGTGCGCAGGCCAGGGGAAGAGCCGCCTGGAGGATCCCGGTTAGGCAGGAACCTGACGTCATGGCCGGGTTTTAGGTTTATCCGACCCAACTGCCTGGGACCCCGAACACTGGGCCAGGCACAGCGGGCTGTCAGGCTGAGGCCTGAGTTACGGGCGGTGTTTCCCCGCAGAGGATTTCGTGCACCAGTTTAAGGGCCTATGCTACTTCACCAACGGGACAGAGCGGGTGCGGCATGTCGAGAGATACGTCTATAACCAGGAGGAGTACGTGCGCTTCGACAGCGACGTGGGGGAGTACCAGGCGGTGACCGAGCTGGGGCGGCCGAGTGCCGAGTACTGGAACCGGCAGAAGGACCTCATGGAGCGGAGGCGGGCGGAAGTGGACACACTGTGCAGACACAACTACCAGTTGGAGGTCCTCACGACCTTGCAGCGCCGAGGTGAGCGCCGGCCGCCGCCCTCCGCGGGGTGGGGCAGCGGGACGGAGCGGGCAGGGAGAGTCGGCCTCTGGCGTCGGAGCCCCGGGCCCAGTGAGGGGACCAGGAGGCGGGACGCGTCCCGCGGCGGAGGGCGGGACCGAGGGCGGATGAGGGACGGACGTCCGCAGCCCTGTAATGTTCCCTGCAGAGGCGGACCAGGCCTGCTTATTGGGGCCCTGCTCCTTCTGCTCTTCTTTCCATTAATTGTGCACGTGGCCGCCTCACGCCTTAGGTGTGTTTGCTTCCTCCTTCCTCACCCTGGCCTAAGCAGTGCCCTGTGCAGAGAGCCCTCCCTCGTCCCTGCTTGCGATCCTGCTGTGAGCTCTGCCTGCAAGCCCCATGTTCAGAGCTCGCTGGGCTGCGAAGCTTAAGGAGCTCGGCCTGGTGGCATTAGGGCTGCTCCACAGGTACCTTGCACACGTGGTAGTATATTAGAGTCCTCATATATTATATTTTGATTTTTGGTTTCAAATTATTATTCAGCTTAATTCTCTTTTCTTAAATGGCTATCAATAGTCCTGGAACCTCTTTGAGACAAGGAACTGGCTTAATTATCCTTGTATGTCTTGTACCTGACACATTGAGTGGCACAGTAGGAGCTCAGTAAACCCTTGATAAATTGATGAATAAAGGTACTCAGCTACCCATCCACTTAGACGCAGGAGAAAACAGAAGGGTAAATAAAGCCTTAAAAAGTGACTTTATTATTCTTTTTTATTTTGCTTAAAGCTTTAAAGTCAACTCTTATTGAGTTGGATCTTAATTTAGAATTTGTGAATGCAAAGTCTGAGGAAAAAAGTGTTTGCTAAAAATAAAAACAATACTTGAATGGTGTTGTAAGGCAGAATTTTAATTTCTTAGAAAAGCTCAACAAATGGCACAATAGAAAGAGCTGAAGTTTTGAAGTAAATAAATTGATGCTATTAAATTATTGAATAAAAATCATTTCAGGTTTCTTTTGGCCTAACCCTGCCCATCCTCCCTCACCCTGCCTTCCCTCTTCCCAGCATCACCATCCACTTCAGGGGTAGACATTCTGCAAGTTAACAGTATCCATTTAATCAGCACGTATTTCTAGACAATTATCTTACCAAACACCATCTATATTATGCCGTTTAATTTCACAACTGTTAGGGATTAGCATCACCACTTTATATATGCTAATGTTGGTACAAAATAAACACGCAGTATTTAGCCCACAGTTATTCACCAAGTCCTGGAGCCTCTCAAAAATCGCAACTGTCATTATGTTCTTTATTACATGTATATAAAATCTAATGGAAGCAAAGCCTTGTTAAAGCCAGTTATGACCAGAAGCAGAAATATGAGTCTGTTCTTGCCTATTTTCAATGTTGGACAAAATTATACTTTCAGGGGCTTGAAAACTCACTGATTAATCTCTAGTCTGACTGCAGTGTTATCTATTCACGTTCACGTAACTTTTAGCTGACTTTATACTCTTGCCTTCTCCTACCTGCAACCTAATGCCACTAAGTACATATATTTTTGCTATTTCAGTTTTTTTGATAAAAATTATTCTAACATTTTTCTGTTGAATTAATGCCCTCTATTTTTACTCCCAATCTGTTTAAGATGAACAGATTTTATAAGTCCATATAGTTGAGCACAATTTCAGTCAGATTCCAGGAAGAAGAACCTGAACAAGAGTTAAAGTCCAAACTGAAAACATGAGTCCTTCCACATTATGGCTCATGAGTGCCATTTAATCAGGGTGCAGAGACTGACCTCAGCAAGTCCCAGTAATACTTGTATGTTGACGTTACATTCTCATTAACCCAGGCCAACCTCTGCAAGAATCCCAGAATATTTTCTACAGAGAACATACATGATAATAATGTCTGATTTCAGAACAAGGGAGTAATTCTTAATAGCAAGGGGATGGAGTAGGGTAGGAAGCTAGTAAAGTCACTTGAATGTTAAAAGAAAATTAGGAAAAAAAAAATGAGACAAGATAACATATTATCAGATAAATAAAACACACATAAAATATTTACTATAGTATCACAGTAAGTGAATAAGGGAGATGCAAGGAAATGCTAGAGAGGTAAAGGATAAGATACGTAAAATCAGTAAGTAGAGGTGTGTCTTATTGACCATGAGTAGCAATCTGAGAAGATATAGGAATTGAGGCATGGGCTAATGTGGTATTTATCAGCACTATTTGTTATCAAGGTACCTTTTCTTTTCCTTCAAAAGTTACAAACTTTTGAAATACATTCATTTTTTTGTCTCTGTTACTAGATTGCAAGTTCTGTAAAGGTAGAGACCATGGTCTGTTGTTTATCTTTGGATTCCCAGTGCTTGTCAAATTTATATTTGTTGAATGGATAAATGAACAAATCAACAAATTAATAAAATATATGATGCAGATATGAAAGTTCGTGTATTTAATAATATACATTTTTGTGGGAGTTCACCATAAAATGACATTTGAGCAAAGATTAGGCTAAAAGCTGCAAGATGCTTTGTTGATCCGCAACTGGTGAGAAGTGCTCTTGCTCTCAGATTTTGTTAGTATTACAGGCTGAGGATTATGAAATACAACCTGTTTGAGAAGCACTGCTTTGTAGAAAGGATGTGATGGTCACTGTTTTCTGACTTTGTTGGACATAGAAATATCTATACATTCTTTGTTACTCAGTCCATGTTACTATTCACGGGGCCATGACTAGTGTCAGTGGTCTCACGGCAGCAGGAGAGAGTCAAAGCTGCTGGGTTTTCTCTACTGTGGGAGCACTAGGAATAACAGAAAACAGCGTCACTGTCCTAATGTGAATCACCAGAGCTAATCCTGATGGTCACCTTCAACAGGTGTGGAGGAAAAGAAGTCCAGGTTTATTATTTTCATATTTAAAATTTATGAATAGTGGCCTGTATAATATAGCAATTTACAATTTTAAAGTGCTTCATTTTTATCAATTGGTATCAACAGAATAACTCCCATAGAATGATTACTATTATCTGTTGAGACTAAAAAGTAAACTGACTAATGTGTTTATTCAGGCTAATAAAGTGGCCACGCTGAGACCCTAATCCAAGACTTAGAGTCTAGGGATCTTTCCACTCTGGTACCAAGGAGGACTCTCCCCATGGGGAGACTTAGGTGTGGTCTCACATCTCACTATGTCTTTTCCTCCCTCAGTGGAGCCTACAGTGACCGTCTCCCCATCCAGGACAGAGGCTCTAAACCACCACAACCTGCTGGTCTGCTCGGTGACAGATTTCTATCCAGGCCAGATCAAAGTTCGGTGGTTCCGGAATGACCAGGAGGAGACAGCTGGTGTTGTGTCCACCCCACTTATTAGGAATGGGGACTGGACCTTCCAGATCCTCGTGATGCTAGAAATGACTCCCCAGCAAGGAGATGTCTACACCTGCCACGTGGAGCACCCCAGCCTCCAGAGCTCCATCATAGTGGAGTGGCGTAAGGGGCAGTTTGTTTCCTTTCACCATGGGCCCCACAAGACAGAGGGCAGACAGAGCTTCCTCTGGCCCATCCCATCTCATCCCTTATCCCCAATGTCACCACTGAGCTGGAAATCACAGGAGACTAGAGCTCCTCTTCCTCCATGGCAGGAGCATCAGAAAAAATCTGATCTTATTGCCTTTCTAAATACTAGTGAGGTCACTTAACACACCATGGCCCCAGAACCCAGCCCTGATAGCTATGAAGGATTGACTATTATGGCTGGTGACTGGGGTCTTAGGGTCTAAGATTAAGATTGTGTCCCAAGGAGCAGGGATCCACTTCCCCCCTTTGTCTCACCCACCAAGTGTGTCCAAGGATCTATTGGTTGGTCCCTCCCCCAGGAGTGGCCAGAATGGAGAACTAGGTTCCCCTGGCACCTCCACCACCTGTACCTCAGACTGGACTTCAGGCTTCCCAAAGGGACACTGGGGTGTGGAGACACATGCTGATGCTCAGGCTCTGCTCCTCAGGTGCGCAGTCTGAATCTGCCCAGAGCAAGATGCTGAGTGGCATCGGGGGCTTCGTGCTGGGGCTGATCTTCCTTGGGCTGGGCCTTATCATCCGTCACAGGAGCCAGAAGGGTAAGGCACTGTGGGGAAATGGGGAAGATGAGCTGTGACTGAGACACTCTGTTCAGGGAGTCCTCTGCCTCTAGATGTTCAGAGAGGCCTCTTCCTCCTGACCCTGAAAGGAAGGAGGCTGGGCTGGTGGTGGGAGGAGCCCTGGGGGAGACGTTGGAATCTGGTAACAGGTGGAGTGTGTTCTAGGACTTCCTTCCACTTCATCATGTCTCACTGGCTCCTCTCTGAAACCCTCCTCCTTTAAGAGGATCAGAGTATGGGCTTCCCTTCCTTCTAGTAACAGTTTCATTCATTTTGGCGGATTTTAGCTTAGAGTGGTTAAGGTCTTGTGGTCAATGGATAGGGAGGAGATAAATTTCCAGTGAATTCACATATTTCATTTCCCTTTGGGGTGAGTAAGGGACTGGCTGTTGGTGTAATGAGACCTTTCTCTGTATAACTTCCTTTTGTAGGACCTCGTGGGCCTCCCCCAGCAGGTACTATTTCTGCTCGGATTCAATGGGCAGTGTGGGGACAGGTAAAAGGGGAGAAGGGCTGAGGTGAGTGTACCTGGGCACAGTGGTCTCATTTCATGGCCTATTCCCTGCTATGGGGATCAGGGTTAGGGGAGAAATTTGCCCAGTTTCTGTAGGAAGCTTCAGAGGTTATTTCCCAGAACCAGGCCATAACTTGGGTGGCATCTTTCTGTGAAACTTGAGGCCAGAGCCATGTCTGGGGTGTTAGACACCAGGATGTTGCCTGCTTTGTGCCACATGTTGGTGGCTATGGCCTGTGTTCATTTATAAGTGGCTGAAAGAGGCTAGTAGTGGTGGAAAGAAGGTAAGTTACCATCTAATTTACTCAAGAGTGAAATCTTCATATTCCCCAGAAGAATAACAGTTGCTCCCCCGCCTCCCACACATCTGCATGGAGCTGAAGGGGCGTGTCCTCTTTAGCTGATTTCACCTTTACATCGATATTAGGGGAGGGGATGATGATATGCCCTGGGCCTCACCTTTCTCTGTCTGATGCTGCAGGGGCCCCGAGAGGAAAGAAGAGATGTGTTCCTCAGGGTGCTCTGTGTTGATCACTGTCTCTCTTCTACAGGGCTCCTGCACTGACTCCTGAGAATACTTGGACTGGGATTGGTCTTCGTGCTTCTGTAATGCCTGCTTATCCTTGCTCAGAATCCCAGCTGCCGGGCAGCCTGTCCCCCTCTGAGATCAGAGTCCTACAGTGACTCTGACAGAGTCACTCCTCCTGTGACCCTCATCCTGAGGATCCAACTACGACACTGCTTCCTGCACTGACCCCGGAGCCTCTGCCTGTGTGCTGCCCGCTGCGTCTACTCATACCACAAGGGGTTCTTCTGTTTTCGTTCTCCCCTCACAGACTGTCCAAGAGAAGCACATTGAAACCATTTACCTGACTGTAAATATTTTATCATAATTAAACATGATTATGAGTTATCTGTATCCTGAACTTCCTTAAATGAGCAGAGGTGGAAAACCACTGTGGAATGAAGGAACATATTTTGAGTTGACTCAGCCAACCTGGGAGCAGACGGAGGAGTTGTTCCTTGAAAGGAGAGTAGAAGCGTCTTGGGGTGCCATGTAGGGGTGGGCAGAGGAGATAGATCAATTTAATTGTCACATCCTTCATGGTTCTTTAGTATTGTTGGTTAATGCAGTGGCCTTAGGATGGGCCGGCCTCTCTTCCAGTTTGTAAGTATTATATAAGTAAACATGTGGGATTGTTTGGGATTGTTTGTGGACCAATATAGTGACCCCTGGCCACTGATGTTTCAAGTGTATCCTGGAAACTCGCAGTGATCAAGGTCGATTTTTATTTTTGAGAAAATACAACCAGCAATGAAAGTACTATTTTTGGTTTTAAATGATTGAAATCCAACACAAATTTATTTTGTTCGTGTTACAAGGAAGCCTGGGGTCAAGTTGATTTGAGAAGTGACTAGATCCATATATTCAATGAAATCTTCATGTCTGTCTTCTCTTTCTGTAATCTCTCTATCTGTGCACCTTTCTCTCTTTCTCTGTCTCTCTTTGTCCCTGTATTTCTTTCAGTGTGTCTCTCTGCATCTTTGTCTCTGTCTCCATTGTTAGGTATCTTTCACTGCATTGCTGCCTCTCTCTCTCTCGTTTTTCTCTGTCTGCACCTTTGTCACTATTTGTCTGTATCTCTTTATCTCTCTGTGTTTCTTTTTGCATCTCTCTTTCTCATCACCTCACATTTTATCTCATCTCTGTTTCTGTGTATGTGTGTTGTATGTTTCTAGAGAGTCTACTAGAGTTTAACCATTTAGGAAAGATTCTGATTGGACCAGTCTGGGTAACATGCACACCTCTGAAAAACATCATCCTGTATATGGGATGCAGATGACTGGTGCTGTGCTGTGCCCATCACTCTTATTAGGAACAGGGATTGGATTTCCCAGATGCTTGTGTTGCTGGAAGTGATTTCCCAGCATGGAGATGTCTATAGCTGCCACGTGGAGCACCCCAGCCTCCAGAGTGGGATGGCATAAAGGGCACTTTGTTTCTTGTGGACCCCACAAGACAAGCAGCAGAGCTACCTCTGGTTCTAGGATCCCTCCTTCGGGGGAGCAAGCTCACACTCATCCCATCCCTTGTCTCTCGCACAGTCACCTGATGGCACTGCTGAGCTGGAAGTCTCAGAGTACAGAGCTCACCTTTTCTGTGACCATAATGACCTGTTGATTCCTGATGACATTCTCTTCCCAGGTGTTAGGGAGGTCACTATGCACTGTGGCTCCTTAGATATGGATCCAGTCCTGAAAGCTGGTCTCCATCTCAGTCTCTGGGTTTTGTCATTAAGACAGGTGGCTAGGAGCTTATTGCTGAGATTATGGAGGGCCATGCCCCTGAGGAGCAGGCATCGCCTCCTCCCTACTCCCACCCATTGGACCTGAAGAGCCAATGGCAGGTCCTTCCCTCTTCTAGATGATCAGAATGGGGAATGAGGTTTCCTTGGGACCTTCATCTTCTATACTCCATGCTGTACTGAAGGTCATCAGGTAGGGGCATTGTGAGGTGTGGGGACAGACAGTGATACTTGGCATTCTGCTCCCCGAGGTCATAATCTGAATTTGCCGAGAACAAGGTGCTGAGTGGTCTGAGGTTCTGTGCTGGTTTTGTCATCTTCCTCAGGGTGGACATTGTCATTCACCATGGGAATCAAGAGTGAGTGACACCCTTGTGGAAATGGGGAGGACTTGTGCTGCGTGTCCAGGGAGCCCTCAGTCTCTGTATGTGCTCTTTGCTTTGACCCTTCAAAGGCAATAGGCAGGGCTGGAGATTGAACCAGACTCAGAGTTTAGGGAGACATTGAGATCTGATTTTTCTAGTTGAAACATAAGCCCTCTTATAAGGGTGAGTGGTAGACTATATTATAGGAAAATCTTGCAGTTAACACTGTCACACTGGCCCCATGCTGGAAGATTCTTTCTTAATGAGAGGATCAGAGTCTTCTTCCCTTCCTTCCAGTGATGGTTTCATAGCTACAACTATTTTTTGCACTCAGATTTCATCAGGTAATGTAATCTTTAATTGATAATTTAACTAAAATAACAAATATATCCTTTATAAATAAGTTTTCTAACAAAAAGAACTGAGTTTTAGTAGCCACATACCTTGAAGAAAAGCATATAGGTGTACTAGACAACAACCTATTAGTTATGTGCATTTGGTCTTACCTTCAGTCATATCAGCTCACCAATATTCCATAAGCTTCTGTACATTTCCCAGCCTCTTCTGTGGTTAGGTTGGAGTCATGTGACTAGTACCAGCCAATGGAACTTAAAAGTGGGTGTAAGCTCTGTCTGCTTTGTCTCCCCTGCTACGGCAAGCCTGGAAGCCATTGTTGAGGTGATGGTGTACAAGATGTTAGAAACTCCATAACCTGAGTCCCTTGAATGACTGTGGAATTGAGTCCTCTTTATTGAGCTAAGCCACTGAGATTTTATTTTTACTGCAGGTTAAGATCTTACTGCAGCATAACCTTGCCCTTTCTGACTATTATGGAATGTTTAACTGAAAGAAGAGAGTTCATAAGTTGAAAGGGTCAGTCAGTTGAGTTAACGGAAGTTAAGAAATGATGAATTTTTAAAAATAGCTACCTGTTTGTTTTCTTCCGCCTGAAAAAATATATATTCCCACTGCCTAGAACAGTGCTTCTGTAGGGGTTGCTGTCCTGAACCATCTAGATTCCTCCATTTGAGTCTGAAGGATTTATTCTCTCAGTCACAGGGAATGTTGCTGGCTGACAGTCCTCACCCCACTTTCCAGGGGAACTCACCTCCAGTGACTGCTCAGGGTCGGGGTATGAAGGTCCTGAGCCCCACCCTAACTTGGGCCAACTCTGAAGGGCTTTTTCAGCTTCAGAACTCCCTGGGTGTTAGGCTGAGGACTTTTTTTGTGACTGCATAAAAGTCCAACTTATCAAATCCTGCTTTAATTCATCAGTCATCTTACATAATTTTCCTTTCAGTTTCTGTTGTAATTTAAATGTATTTATATTTGTTTTCTTCCTATAAGTATGGCAATATCTCTTAACCCTCTTTCTTGAAAGATAAAGGAATTGGCATCACTACCTTTTCTTTCCCCTCTCCTTTACCCTCCTACTTGCGAAACTGAGGTATCTGCACTTTTTTTTTATATTATCAAGGCTTAAAATATTGACATTCTGCTATAACAATAATTGTCTTTGGGCTTTGCTCATAGCTTAATTCTATAATTTTATTTATTTATTTATTTTCCCCCCAAAGCCCCAGTAGATAGTTGTATGTCATAGCTGCATATCCTTCTAGTTGCTGTGCTTAATTCTAAAAGTTGAAAAAAAGTTGTTTATCACTTTATGCATATCACTGATGTAGTCACGCATTTCAGGCTTGCTATGGAGTTGCTGTAGTAAGATTTCTTTTCAGTGACGTCCTGGGTTGAATCCACATTGGATTCCTTGCCTTCCTATTTCCTGAATAACAACCTGACTTTATTAGGTCATATTCTTAATCAACTTCCAATAAAACTATGTGTGGTAGGTAAGTTTTATATCCTTTCACGTCTAACGGTATTTTTATTCTTTCTGTATGCCTGATCATGATTTTGAAAAGGTACATCTATTATGGAAAATAACTTTCCTTTAGAATTTCCAGGCCTTTCTCATTATCTTAATAATACAAGTATCTGGCAGTCTGGCTTTTTGTCTGTTGTCAGTTTGTTTTATTTTGTTTCCCCAACTAGGATATTTTATGATCTTCCTTTAACCCTTGAGGTTCTGAAATTTTTAAAATGATGTATTTAGGGATGAGTCTTTTTTCATTAATTTTGCTAAATATCTGAAAGCCTCATTCTATGTAATGAATTAGGTTTTATATCTGGAAAATTTTCCCTTATTATTTGTTTTGGTAATTTCCTCCCTTCATTTTCTCTGTTTCTCTCTCTAGCTCTGGTACTTGATGTTGACTTCCTGGGTCTATTCTCTATGTATGTCTTATCTTTTCTACCATATATAACATTATTTGTCTTCTTGTTTAATTTCAGGTAGATTTTCTTGATTTAATTTTATGGACTTTCTATTATATTTTCCAATTTTTCCCCCTATTCTTACTTTTATAGATGCAATGTCTTTTCACTTCTAAGAATTCTAATTGGTACTCAAAAGACTTTAAATAACTTGTTTGCTCTTACATGAACTTTATCTACTAAATCTATGATAATTTTCATTTTATTCTCATCTTCTCTTATATATTGCAAGATTTTCTCAAACATTTGCTCTGCCCTCATTAACCTTGTTTTTTACATGCTATCCACCATCTTATTTCATCTCAAGACACATTTCTTCAAATCTCCTCTAAACTCTACCAAATTATACCTGGTTTCTCTGCAATACTGTCTCGTGTTACCTTGTTCTTTTCCTTTATAAATCCTTCAGAGTTTGTAATTATAAGTTAGTGGAATTATTTCATATGTGTATATTTCCTTCCACTGGACTATAAATTCTTTGAAGACTATGTATCTGTTTTCACTTATTTTAATACACTCAGAATGTAGTATGATATGTATCACAACATTGGTACTCAATGACCATTTTTGCATTATTTATGGAATTATCAAATATATTAACAAAGTTTGGGGCCTACAATAAAAGGAGCGTTACTTTTCTTTCCTTTGCTATTATTCCTTGTTGCATGCATATTCTTTAGGGTTACATTTCGGAGAGGTTCCTATAGTCTGGAGTAGCATTTGTATACTCAGGGTTTCCTAAGTGTGATAAAAATGAGGAAAACTTTAAAAACCAACATAACTTCAAACAGAATGCTTCTCTGCCTACTTTTGTGGCTCTCCCGGAATATATATGTTTTAAACTCTGTATTATGGAGAATTTCAACTGTATACAGTAGTAGGGCGAATAGAACCATGTATCAACAGTCCAGCTTTAAAAATTACTAATTCATGTGAAATTTTTCAAACCCATCTACTTAATCTTACACGCACAGTGGCTTATTTTGAAGATAATCTCAGATATCATATAATTATAAATATAAAACTGAATATTTTATTATGAAAATATAATTACTTTTTAGGGACATAACAATAATGTCATGACCACACCTAAAATTAGATAAATAATTCCTTAATACAGTGTTCAATTTTTCTGATTGTCTCACGAGAATTTTTTTAACAGATGTTTTGTTTGACTATGAATTCAAACAAAGCCTAGCATTTGGTTGATATATTTCTTTTCTTTTAATGTACAGTTTCTCTGTTGTCTATTTTTCCTTGCAAATTATTTGCTGAAGAAACAGAGTTGTTTGTTTAGTAGAACTTCCCATCCTCCGGATCTTGTTGCTTGCATCCTGTTGATATCATTTATTATGGGATTTGTGGTTTGGGCTCCAGAAAATAACAATAACACCATTGTTAGCATCTATTGACTGCTTACTATGTGCCGGGCTGTGTGTGAAGTACTTGATTTCTAATAAAATATTTAATCTTTCAAAATCCCTAATTTGTATTTGGTAAGTACAAACCTGATATTTTTTATGTTATTTTTCAATTATGTAAATTTTAAATAGCATGATAGTAAGTATTAATAAAGTCATACTTTATGCACACAATCTGAAATAATTCAAATAACTCAAATACTGTTCAAGGATCACATAATTTAAAATCATAAGGACTGATGTCCAACTTTGTTCACAGTAATATCATGTGGTGATCCCACTTTTAACTTTTGGCTGCTAAAAAGAAGTATTTGCTCTTACTTTATAAAGTTAATTTTTATTCTGCTATTTTAAAAGCATATGAAGACTTTATGAATGAATCTCTTTAATAAAATGCAACTGCCATTAAATTTGCTTTCCTTAGTACTTCATGGGGAAGGAGTCTGAGTAGGACAACATTTGTGTATTTCTGGGACATTGGTCATAATGCCATTCAATAAAACCCTTATATTACTATAACACACACATACACACATTACACACACACACACCATATCCTAAATTGTGGGTTCTTATCTCATGAATTATTGAAATTTACATAAAATTCTTTTGAACTCCTTCTGCCCAAAACTTCTCAGCATATTTGTGCATTTTTAGGTGACCTAAATTTTTATTTCCATACTAAAATTTTTATTTCATACATTTGGGACCATAATTGCTGACCTTTTCTTGTTTTAAATATGTACACTTTGTTTCAGAGCAGTTTTAGGTTCACAGCAAGATTAAGTGGAAGGTACAGAGATTTCCCATATATCCCCTGCCCCCACCATGCATAACTTCCCCCATTGGCAACACCCCTCATCAGAGTGGTACATTTGTTATAATTGATAAACCTACATTGACACATCATTATCACTTAAAGTCCATAAGTTTACATTATGTTTCACTTTTGATGTGTACACTCTACAAGTTTGGACAGATATATAATGACATGTATCCTCTATTACATTATCATACAGAATAGTTTCACTGCCCTCAAAATCCTCTATGCTCTATTACCTACATTTTTTGTGTGTGTGAGGAAGATAAGCCCTGAGCTAACACCCATGTCAATCCTCCTCTTTTTGCTGAGGAAGACTGGCCCTGAGCTAACATTCATGCCCATCTTCCTCTACTTTATGTGGGACGCCACCACAGCATGGCCTGACAAGCGGTGCGTCAGTGCACGCCCAGGATCTGAACCCAGGCCACCAGCAGTGGGGCATGTGCACTTAACTGCTACACCACGGGGCCAGCCCTTCTATTACCTACATTTTCATGATCACCTCTGGTTCATATTTTCTGCATTTACTAATTCCTAGTCTGCATTTTTAATTATTCTTTTGTGTGTGTGTGTGTGAGGAAGATTAGCTCTGAGCCAACATCTGTTGCCAATCCTCCTCTTTTTGCTGAGGAAGACTGGCCCTGGGCTAATATCCGTGCCCATCTCCCTCTACTCTATATGGGACGCCACCACAGCATGGCTTGACAAGCAGTGCATCGGTCCATGCCTGGGATCTGAACCCACAAACCCTGGGCCTTGGAAGCGGAGTGTGTGAACTTAACCAGTATACCACCGGGTCGGCCCCATTTTTAATTATTCTTTTGCTTCTACCTCACAGGTAGCCTTTAATCTTCACCATCTCCTCCCCAAAGTAAACATGCATAAAGATCTGTTGCATATAGCATAGCTTGACTAAAAATTTATGGGCCATAAGGAAGAGACATATCTTTTCTTAGAGAATGAAAACCTAAAGTCAAATATTACAACTTGCCCCAAGAGTTCTTTCAGCAACCCCTTCACCAATGATCTGTCACTGACCATTATACCCTCAGCCAAACTCAGTCTCTCTCATTCTAGGAAAAAATCTTTCAATTAACATATTGAAAGAAATTCATCCATATCTCCATGTTTGAATCTCCTGTCATTAAAGGGCTCAGAAAAACAGAAGTGCATTCATATATGATCCATTCTTTTTATTTTATTTTATTTATTTATTTATTTTTGGTGAGGAAGATCAGCACTGAGCTAACATCTGATGCCAATCCTCCTCTTTTTGCTGAGGAAGATTGGCCCTGAGCTAACATACGTGCCCATCTTCCTCCACTTTATATGGGATGCCGCCACAGCACGGCTCTACAAGCAGTGCATCGGTGCGCGCCCAGGATCCAAACCGGCGAACCCTGGGCTGCTGCAGCGGAGCGCGTGCACTTAACCGCTTGTGCCACCAGGCCGGCCCCTATGATCCATTCTTTTTAATGAATTAATTACAGATATAGCTAGTAATTTTTTCTGTGTATTTGTACACTATGTGTAAGACACCTCGTATATGTCAAGATTATTCAAATTCTGTCAATAACTGCAAGGAAGTATTATCACTCCCGCATTATAGATGAGAAAAATAAGGTTCAGAAATGTTAGATACTTTACCTAATACTATAAAGTTCAAAATACTAGCTATAAAGTGCTGAGTCCTGGATTTGGATTGAAGTTTATTTGCATCAAACTATGATTTATCAATTATTTTGTTAATGTTTTATCTATTCTTTTCCCAATTACATTTTAAGCTCACTGGTGCAGATGGCGTGGACAGGGACAGCCTCATACACTTTATAGCTGTTCCATCATATGTTCCTAGATGCAATATATAGACTCAGTAATTGCAGAGTGGAAAGACTGAGGCAACGTGCTTAAAACTGTTTCACAGGGTAAAATGACTCTGAGTCAAGTTACATCCACTCTCAAGAGTGATGTCTTGGACACACTCAGGAGAGCCAGAGAACCCCACCTGTTGATCCATTTCCTCTGCAAGTGTTTCCACTAGGAGACAGCGAATCTAGAGGAGGATGCATCACCCATAGCTGTGGCTACATTATCTTAACTTGTTGTCCCTCCCGGGATTTCTCTCTCACAGGCTCACACTTTCCTTAGCGAGGAGAGGTGAGGGGCAAGGGGCTGGGGATACTGGGGTGTTTTGCTGTTTCCCAGGGCACAAGATGATGCACAGGGATTCAGTGAGCCTGACTTAGGCTTATCTGGCTAGAAACATCCTGCAGCCATATTTACTCTACTGTCCCTGACATGCCATGGTGGCATAGGAAAGGCTATGTGGTTGTCTTGCAGGGATTCATGTAGGAGGTGAGGCAAACTACATCTGTGTTCTAGGGACCCTAAATATCTCTGTGGTTTCTACTCTCATTCTTTTCCCTATTGTTACTAACCTGATGTAAGAACAAAGTATTTCACCCTTCTCAGATATCTGCATTATTGTCCTCTTATAATGTTCTCCTAATGCTCTCTTTTCCATTTCTTTTCCTGCCTAGAGAATTATTATTTCTTCAATTGTGAGGAGGGGAGAAGAAAGCTTCTCTTATCATCATTCATTCTTCAAAAGTTAAACATTTTGGAAACCAACTTTGACTTTTGGTACTTTTGAGATTCAAAATTCCTTTCTCCTAACTTATTTCTCTGTCATATCTTTTAAAAGCTATATTAAAATGAGTAGAGATTTATTTCTTGGGTTTTTTTTTTTTTGTGAGGAAGATCAGCCCTGAGCTAACATCCATGCCCATCTTCCTCCACTTTATGTGGGACAACGCCACTGCATGGCCTGACAAGCGGTGTGTTGGTGCATGCTCGGATCCAAACCCGGGCTGCCAGCAGCAGAGCACCTGCACTTAACCGCTACGCCGCGGGGCCAGGCTGTGGGTTTTGTTTTTCTGTTCCAACAAATCTACACCAAAAGCAAAGGGTATATATTACCTTCGTTGATGTCTGAATTGAGGGGTGGATGGCAAGTGTGGTTACAAAAAGAAGAGACAAATATTAATGTCAGCTAAGGTATCAAAATATTATCAGTCTATACTTGGTTGCTCCTGTGTTGCTGGGCATGAAACATGATCTAGGAAATGAGATTAGATGAAACATAAGGGAACATGGTTCCAGTCAGCCCTGAGATGAAAGACAGAAAAAAATTCAATAAAGACTTCATAAAGGGGGATTTATTGCTTCCATGGAGATATTAGTTCAGGGTCACTGAGGGATTAGGTAGCTGGGGGGGATATTCCAGGGTTCCCATAATAGGTAACAATTGAGAAAAGAAAAAAAATTTTAGGAGGTCCAGGGAGAATTTTGAGGAGTATGTGAGCTCTGAGAAGATACAGAACCTTAAGTCCCAGAGAAGAAGTGAGAGGAGGAGTGTGGGAGGAGAGAAGGAATATGATGAACTTGGTCAGAAAGTAGTGCTAGGTCACCTAGTATGTCCACTCTTCTGCTCTGGTAGATCGACAGTGTACCTGCAACAGGACGGATAAGAGATCAATGGGTCCTAGGGGGCTCCCATGCCGTCACCATGCTGTTTCCCAGTTCTACAACTTTTCAACCACATTTATGCCCACAGTCTCCTCCTGCTTTCCTTACTCCTGTACTGTGTCTCCAGTCTAATAAATCTGAATCCTTCCCTTCCCTTCCTGGGTGCGACTCACAAGGGTCCTTGTGTCTGGCGGCACCAATTGAGTGCAAGCCTTGGATAATGAAGACAGTGCCCACCACGATGCCCACGAGGCCCACAGCCAGCCCCAGGGTGCAGACCAGAGTCTGTCAGCTCTGACATAGGGGTTAGAATCTCAGGCTCTGTGAAAGTGAAGTTGTGGAAGTCAGAATACAGAGTGTTCCTGTGCGTGTACGTGGGACGGTGGGGATAGGTTTGGTCTGCAAAGACTTGGGGCTTGGGGCTTAGGGAGGAGAGTGAAGTCTATCATTAGAAATGCTTGAAGTGTTAAATTTAGGACCATGACAGTTAGGGGATAATAGGCAAGATGTTCTGGACTTGACAGAGAAAAGAATGTTCCAAAAGGGGTGGAACTCATGCCTACCCCAGTGTTTCAGAAGTGGCTTGTCCAGGCCCCAGTGCTCCACCTTGGAGTCATAAATATAATTAGCAGAATGGAGGAATTTATCTTGAAGAAGGAATGATCATTCTTGGGGAGGAAGCTAGTCTCAGAAACACCTTCTGTGGGTGAGTGCCCATTGCCTAGCCATGTGACATTGATCAGGAGGAAAGATGTTGTCCACAAGACAGATGAGGGTGTTGGGCTGACCTGGCATCATGGGAGACTTGAGAAACACAGTCACCTCAGGAACTTCTATGGTGAGGAGACAGCACTGATATGAATTGTGAATAGCTCTGCCTGAGGTTCCGCACCGCATCCTGGAGGAGCACTCCCACCAACATTTCCCAATATGATAGCAGAAGAGCTCTTGCTTCCCTTCTGCTTGGGAGCCACTATACAGTGCCTCTGCTTTATCCCTGTGCCCTTCTCTCTGTGGGACCTGCTTGTTAAAGTAAGAAGTCTATAGGACCTCTCCTTGAAAGATTCAAGGTTTGCCTTTAGGAGTAAGGATCTTTGTATTACGTAGAAATGTGTAATTTGTAAGAAGGCAGAGGATGAGGGTTTAGTAATTTTCATGAGAAAATCTGAAGATTTTCTTTGAAAGGAGACAGTTTTCTAGAATAGTGAAGGGTATCTATTCTTAGGGAAGAAGGGAGCTAGTGCTGGTATGAAGTGACAGATTCAATAAAGACAGGCAGAATGTTGAACACATACTACTGGTAGCAGTGGTAGAGTCGGAGCATTTAATCAGGTTATCCAAGTTGTTTTTCATTAGAACTATGTTTCTCAGTGCACACTGTGGGTCAAAATTTCTAAATTCTCTAAACAGAGACAGCCAACAGAGAGTTTCCTTCTTCTCCAGGTCCACATAGAACTCCTTGTCTCCACCAAATTCATGGGTGTACTGCCCAGAGGGACCATAACTCTGGTAGACGTTTATGCCATAGGCGACAACGTGGTCAGCCGACGAGTCAGGGTGAGGAGCAGGAAGGAGAAAAACAGAGGGAGAGAAAAGAAACTTATTAAACCAAGTGACAGAAGAAACTGACTTTCAAATGTTGTGGGCTTCATTTTTGGCATAGTCTCTAGACAAAATTCCTAGCACCTGATTCTTTGCCCTCGGTGTTGGTAGTTGTCCAGTTAGAGTCCAGTCTGCCTTTCCAGTATAATGTATGCTCCACGAGGGCAGAATTTCACAGGCTGCATGTACTGCTATTCCCTGAATGCCTAGCTCAGTGCCTGGCACAGCATAGGCTTATGATAAGTATTGTAATGAGATGAAAGAAGGAGTGAATGAATTATCCTTGTATTGGCTTTCTGCCCCAGAGATTCAGTTTACTTCCCTCTGCTTTATGATGTTTTATCTCTCACTTAATCCTTTCATCAGTTAATAACATATTCCTTATGGGGACTCTCTCTTCAGAACTGGCACAGAGCAGAATATTTTCCACACTGGGATTCCTTCCTCATTTTTTTTTTTTTTAATAAGGAAAAGCACACAGGATCTTATTATTTTAAAGGCGTTTCCTCTAACTATTATAAGGTATAAAAAAGGTTATGACAAGGACAGCAACAATATTTCAAAATATATAAAAAATAAACAATGCCTCTAAGGTCTCTGTTTTGTGAACAGTAGTGATCCTTAAAGGAGAGCATCTGATGCCTTCTGAAAGAAAAAAATGGAAGCTTTATTAGATTTTGGATTTCTGTTATTCTCCACCCCTCTTTTTTTTTCTTGAAGGAGGTTACAAAACCTCTCCTTTTTCTGACTTAACACTTACATTCATTGAGGACTCCAGGTAAACTATGGTCCTTTTCCTTGAATGGACAATGTACTTATCTGAGGATGCCAAAGCATAATGGCAGCCAGTGCAGTCTGACTCCACCCAAAGGAGCTTAACTGGATAATTTTGTCAAGACACATACGAGCCTTTTACTCTTTCCTCTTTCCTTTCTTCCTCATTCACTGAGCATCAATGAGGTTTCAGACATCTTGCAGAGCAGGGAGTAAAACACCAATCAGCATGGTCTCTGCCCTCAAGGAGCTTATTGAATAGT